GTTTATTTTAAGGTGTCCTTGTTACAGTGTAATTATACATTTAAGTACTGAGTAATATTAATTGACTACATGTACTTAGTGTTTGGCTTAGGGTTACTTTCACGCATAATTAATTGTTATTATAATAGTAAGTACATGCAACATGTGTAACAAGGACACCTTAAAATAAAGTGTTACCAAATCTTTTAATAAAATGTTTGAAATGAGTTGTGCACAAATACATATAGTGCCTGTTTTTGAAAAACATACATACAATTTAAAAAATGAAGCTTCTTTATACATGCATTAGTAAGTAATGAATTCCTAGGCTACTTTTTCCTTGAAGAAGTAAAAGCAAAGTAAGGGATTACTCTTAATTTTACTTAAAAATTAGGTAACACTTTATTTTAAGGTGTCCTTGTTACACGTTACATGTACTTACTATTATAATAACAATAAATTATGCATAGTTACTAACCTTAAACCAAACCCTAACCATATAGTAAGTACATGTAGTTAATTAATATTACTCAGTACTTAAATGTAGAATTACACTGTGACAAGGACACCTTAAAATAAAGTGTAATTAAAAATGTCTTACTCTTAATAATTACAGCTACTTCTGATGGAATTACATTAAATATTCTATAGAACAATTGGTAACACTTCAGTATAGGGACAAGTTCACACTATTAACTAGTTGCTTATTAGCATGCATTTTATTAACATATTGGCTGTTTATTAGTACTTATAAAGCACCAGTGTTGGGAAGGTTACTTTGAAAATGTAATAGGTTACAGATTACAAGTTACCCTCTTTAAAATGTCACTAAAAAAAAATCAGACTTTAGTACCGCCTTTTACTTTGAGATTGATCTGAAGTTCAATGCAGATTTAACATCATAAGAAATAGTTTACTGATAGTGTTTTTGAACCCAAATCTTCGCATAAATACAGGAAACACTGCATCTAACAATACTTTGGGGGAAAAAACTGTTAATTTAAAAAATAAAATAAAAGCATATACATCAACCCAAATATGGTTATCTAACAAGCATGTGTCCTATTCTTTGTACTAAACTCCTGAAACATTGGTGTCTTTTTGAAACATTAGTGTCTGTTTATATGATATGACAATAGTTTTCTCAAAAGAAATTGTAAAATGCTCATGTAGTGACTCAGAGCAGTTCTAGAGATTATGTTTATGTGTTCATGTACTCATATATATTGAGATGGCTGAAAAGACCACGAGCGATACACATGCACGCTTAAATGAAACCGCGTGTCTGCGCCATTAATTTACGGACTGGAAAATCTCACACTCATCCAGGCCATCCCATACACCCAAACAAATTCTAAAACACAGACAACCCTATTTTTGTATGGCCATCACAAAAACTCCTTAGGCTGGGGACATGCAAAATAATTAAAAGTTCTCTCCTGAACGGCACCTTCACTTCCATTTTAATTTTCAGTCTCTTTATTTTGCCCTGATTTCTCTATGTCTCTCACATGACTTTAATACTCAAGATTTAACAAAATTATTCTTTCTAAGTTGCCTACATGTCAAAATTAGTACAATAATAACTATTATAATATCTTTATAGAAAATTCATAATACTGAACATGAGTTATATTTTTCCCTTAAAAAAATTTACACATTTTTTCTTAGTAACTGTAACTGATTACAGTTACATTTATTTTGTAAT